CTCATATTCCCTTTTCTCTTCTTTATGATCTATGCCCTCCAGCTCAGAGAATTCCTTTAGCTCTTCTAATAGCCCATAATCTGTGTTGCTTCCCAGCTCTCAATTATCCTATTCCTCCTCCAGGAACACATTCCCCGTACCCTGCATCGCCTGAGCCAGAGAAGCAGGTGCACACTGATAATGACCATAGCCTGTATGCGGCTTTGTGTTTGTGATGCACAGGACTGAGCTTTGGAGACGAACATCCTGGAAGTATAAATCCTCCTCAGAACATCCTGGAAGTATAAATCCCATTTTGTGGCCTCAGACATGATCAAGGTCTGGGAACTGCCGTGTGACCTCTAAATGGACAGGTAGTGGCAGCTGCTGTACACAGATGCCATACAATAAAATTGAGTTGAAATGTGATGTCTTATAAAGATTGATCCTGTGAGATCTTCTTATATCTAATACAAAAAAGGGAGTACAAAACCATACCAGGCATGTGCTACTGCCTACCCAGTACAGCTGGAGCTCCTTAGTGACAAGATCCCAGCAGCTTCTCTCTCTCTCTCTCTCTCTCTCTCTCTCTCTCTCTCTCTCTCTCTCTCTCTCTCTCTCTCTCTGTCTGTCTGTCTCTGAAGGATGAAAGATGAAGGATGAAGGACCATAGAGCTCTCCACTTATCCACATCTAGCTTCAGACAGCCATACTATATAAAAAGAGGGTATAGATAGGACCTTTGTCAAAATTAAAGAGGAAGTATAAGGTTGAGTACAAAAGCAGTGCTTCTGTATTCAGAATGGATATGAATATCTAGAATAATTATGAACCAACATTTTTGGGACAAAGTGGCTGGACTATGTTTGACCTGAACACTAGGGGATATATCTTAAGAAGCCCATGTGGGCTGGGAAGTAGTAGTGCATGCCTTTAATTCTAGCACCAGGGATGCAGAGGCAGGTGGATTTCTAAGTTTGAGGCCAGCCTGGTCTACAGAGCAAGTTTCAGGACAGTCAGGACTACAAAAAGAAACCCTATCTTAAAAAAAAAAAGAAAAGGAGGAGGAGGAAGAGGAAGAAGAAGAGGAGGAGAAGCATCTCCCATGTGGGATTGACAGGTTGGTTTCAAGTACTCCAGCATCTAGGACCCAATTCTCAGCAAGATGCATGGTGGCCTTAGAGTCAACAGAGTGATGACAACAGCAGACTGCTTCCTTCTGCTTGCTAGTGGAAGAAGACAGCAGTGGCAGCAGCCACTTTAGAGCCTCTGGCCTTAGTTAGAGCCCTTTCTAAACAACTCTGGCAAATATAGTGAACTGGCAGCTTGAGAAAGCCTCTTAATGGCTTATTCAAGACCATACAATGAATAATAGGTAAAGACATGGGACAGAAAAAGTGATTCAGTAAAAAACAGTGGTACATTGTACCATCGAACACAAGGAGGATAATCAGGGGTGGGGCAAGATGGGGAAACCCCCATGATCTCATTGGCCTGCAACAACCAAGGACTGCTCTCTGCAATGCTATGATGGCCTATGTCCAGTTATCTGCATAAAGACTCAATGGGGAACAAATGGTCTTTGGTTTAAAGAATATGCCACAGACCAGGGAAATATAACTAGACTTTATTGTCTTCGTGCCTTGACAACATCCTAGAGAGCAGAGCTGGGTTCTAAATTGGCTGAGATCTTCCATAAATGGTGTCTAAATGCAGGCTACACACCATCCAAATCTCCCCAGAGAAATTCCTATTATGTACAAGGAATGGGGAATGCAGCAAGTCCCTTGACTGGGCAGAACACATTTTCTGTTTAGTGCAACTTTGTATTTCTTGGGTTCAGTGCCAGGTGTGTGTTCTCACTAGACCAAACCCCAAACTGCAGCGCTTCTAATTATACTGAAAACTAAGCTAGTCCCAGGAAAGCACAGACATGATATTAATAAATCTATAAAGGCTCCAGTTAAGAGTCAATATTATGTTACTTGGAGTTGCTATAGAAAAACAGTTACTTTTTTTTTTTAAGTTTGCCTCTACTGACACACATATTAAAACCAAGAAGAGTTGGAAACTGGCAAGATGGCTCAGGAGATAATGAGTTTGGTCCCCAGAACCCACATGGTGTCAGGAAAGAACAAACTCCCAAGTTATCAACTGATCTCCACATGCTTGCCATGACACATGCATATACATGGACACACATATGCCATCCATCCATACATCATACATAGATACCCAAGAACTGGCTGAGATGTAGCACCAGTTGTAAGGATTCAGGCATTACGCTGGCCTGCCCCTGTCACCTGGCAGAATGCACTCAGGCAGTACTCTGGTCAGCCCAGGGTCCCCTGAGTACTAGTCTGCATGCAGGTGCAAAGGACCCCTTGCCCACTTACGCTCTTTCTGCTCTCTTCTCTTTCTGCTCTTTTCCAGCTCTCTTCCCCGCTGTTCCCCTGGAGCAGACAGGACTTTTCCTGTCTCCCTGTTCTCTTCAGTCTTCTCTCTGTGTCTATGTCTGTATCTCTTACCTCTTTTCTCTTCCCTTCCCCCTCCCTCCCTTTCTAATAAAACTTTTCACTTAAGTTCTGCCTGCCTGGCGTGTTTATCCCTCTGCCTCAGTCACCCTAACCCACCATGGATTCCACCATGGTCCCCTACCCAAGGTCCCCCTTCCAGCTTTATCATAACACCAGTGGATGTCACTCTGTGGAAAGGATGGTGTCAGGGGAACCTCCAAACATGAAACTAAGTGTATTATAAAATTGACTGTAGTGTGTGTGTGTGTGTGTGTGTGTGTGTGTGTGTGTGTATACTTTTTACTGTGACTCAGCTCAAACCATATCTGTCCAGAGACTTCCCCCACAAAACAAACTGAAAATTCTGCACAAGGCAGGAGGTGTTGCTCAGGAATTGACAAAGTGCTTACTCAGCACCTCCACAGCACTGAACCCATACAGGTGCTCCTTGACTTACAGTGGGGTAGCATCAAGGCATGCCCATTGTAAGTTGAAAGTGCAGCTGATACACATAACCTGTATCCCAGCCTAGCTAGCCTGCCTTAGACAAGCTCAAGTACTTACCAAACCCTACTGCTGAGTAAAGCCATCAGCTGCCAAGCCCATTTTACAGCAAAGTGTTAAATTCTGCCTGTACAGTGACAGGTGGGTGTTTTTGTCAACTAATGCATTGTGAAACCACAAAACACAATATCCAAAATGCTCTGGTGACCCAGCATCAGAGGAGAGCATCACGCTGCACACAACCAGCCCAGATGGGTACCACTTTTGTATTTTCATGATCTGGAAGATCCTTAAAGTTAAGTTAATTTCAGGCATGGGATCATCTGTTCATACTTGTTGATTTGGCAGTGACTTCTAGTTACTTTTTAACACATTAACTTTGTTAGCTATCAAATTAGAATTTGTGGGTGGGCTTCTTCCTCTGTCCTGTTTGCATTCAGACTCCCAAGACAGCAAATGCTTCATTACTCTACACTTGTACAGGATTGGCACTGACTAAGCCCCTCTGTGACATTTGACTGCCCGCCTTTCTAACTGCCAAAGAACACATAGTTCAGCTATCTGTAAGCCCAAACAAACCCTCATTCATATAAAAATGTCAAAGATGACACATCGGAATGAAAAAAATCCTTTAAAATTTTTATTTACAAATCGATTAGTAAGTAAATCAATGCCTAAAAGCAAAATAATGCTATCTAAAGCTGTGCCATTCTAGTGTGGCCAGTGACGTCACTTGGAAGAATGTTAGAAATACAAAACCTGCTTCCCACCAACTGAATTGAATCAGACTGTGTTAAGGGTAGAGCCAAAGCTCCTATGTTTTAGTTAAGTTTTAGGATGTGTTTTCTTTTAAATCACCTGTGTGTGTCTGTGTGGGAGTATTGCACATGGGTGCAGGTATCCACAGTGGTCATATGAGGGCATCAGATCTCCCTGAGGGTGGAGTTATGGGCAGTTGAGAACTCCCCAAAGTGGGTGCTAGGAACTGACCTGTAGTCCTTTTTGAAAATAGCAAACACTCATTAACCAGGCAGCTGTCTCTCTGGCCTTGAATTGAGTTCTCCCCACAAGTCTCACATGCCTTTAAATTTTAAGAGCTGACTCTGTGGTTTGGGTGAGTCCTCTTAAAGACTTGGTCCCCAGCTTTGCACTTGTGGCAGAGTCATCAAGGGACTCAGCAATGGCAGGAGGTCTTGAAGATGATTGAGGGCCTTCCCTGGAAGCAGATCATGGGACCCTAGCCCCCTCCTCCCTCCTGCTTCCCTCTCCCTGAGATGTACAGACTCATCACAGGCCCAGAGCAACAGGGTCAACCAACCACAGACAGCAACCGTTATGAAAGACACCATGACTTGATCTGCCACAGTGTAGGAAGCTAACCAACATGACCGCTAATTGAAAAACAAGTATTAGACTACAATGAACCACACCACTGATCTTAACTGAGTAACCATTACTCAGAAATAAATGAAAAATGGCATAGATTAGAGCTTTGCCAGGGTCAAATGGCACATTCTTGCTGGTGTATAATTAAAAGTATCAGGAAGGTTGGGCATGGTGGTACACACTCATAATCCCAGTGCTCGAGAGACTGAAGCAGGAGGTTTACTGTGAGTTCAGGACTGGGCTGCATAGTGAGTACAAGAGCATCTAGTGTTACATAGCAAGACTTCTGTATTCAAAATCAAACAACCCAAAAAATGAACAAATACCATAAAAGGGCCAGGGAAATGGAGTAGGAAGAATTATACAATTAATGGAATTAATTGCCAGGACACCAGAAAGCAGCCTAGAACAGGCCTGCACCTGCCATCACACTTAATGCTCTGTTCCCCCAAGCCTTCCGGCTCCTTGTTTTCAAGGTTCACTGGCCATGCCCCCCGCCCCGTGCTTTCCTTCCTGAAGGCAAAGCCTCTGAGTCTCCAAAACTTATGGGAGTACATGACTGACCGAGGCAATTCAGAAAATGTGGCCGAGAGGGAAGCAAGCGGCAGCGCCTACCGTGATTGAGGTGTCTGATGCAGTCATTGAGAAGAGCGCTGAACTTCTGTTGCTCCGTGGCCTCGTGGAAACAGAAGTAGGCGTGCCTGAGGTAAGGCTGCCACAGGTACACGGGGAATGACTTGGGCAGGACCACAAAGGGCTGAGAGTTCTTCTCACTGGAAGCTAGAGAAATAATGGAAGCACAGGTAGTTTTAAAGCATGAGCACGTACTTCAGTCTGTAAATACTTGTTTCAGTCTGTAAAAGTATCTGGGGCAGCCACAGAATAGCAAGGTTGTAGGGAAGTGAGGGTTCATTGCCTCTCCATCCCACAGCCCACCCAGTTTGTCCTTCCCACAGGTGTCGTCTACTCCTCCGCAGAGAGACACAGACAGCCTACACATCTTCCTCAGCTCCCTACTTTGAAAGCATCTCCAAAGACCCCACACAGAGCTCCCTTCTCATGCACCTCTAGGGCTCACTTGCTCTTTGCAGTCTCCGGTTCCCCCAGTTTCTCCCTCCCCTTGGCAAAACAACACTTGCCGACTACAGGGTCTATTCCTATTCTCACTTCAGTCTGCCTCCTGCAGCACCACCTCCTGAACCCAGCCACCCTGGCCACCAGCCCACAGCTCATCTACTGACTGCCCTTTTGCTCTGGTGTCTAACATGTGTTGCTGCTAGCAATCCATTCTTTGGACAACTTTCCCTCCCTGGTTGAGTGTGCATCTCTCCTGGTTCTCATGTCTGTTTTATTTCCAAAAAGTGTCGTGTTTTGCACCTATGGCTTCCTTTGCCACCTATCTTCCTGTCAAGGGTTGACACTTGTCCAGTTGTGTGTTTGGTTCCCTCTACTTTTGGTTTTTACTCCTCAGAAGGGTGTCGTCCATCCATTTCACAGCTTAAAAGTTGTTCCCAGAATCCTTATCGCCTTCCTTCTTTTCCATCATGCCCTTTTAGAGAAAAATCATTTCCCCCTTCACAAGGTGGTTCAAAAGTCACCTCTTCTGGGAAGCCTTTACTGGCACCTGCCACCAAGACAGAACTATGTGATCTCTAATGTTCTCCTGAAATATGTAAGTGGCTGGTTTCCATGCCTGGCACCCATTAGGGAGGAAGGAAGGGTAGATGAGCCTTGCTGTTTGATTCTTGGGAGCACCCTTCTCTGAACAGTGGCCTCTAGAGGATGGAGTCCACTTCTGACACATCCTTGTATCCTCAGTTCATAGCAGAGTTGTAGATCCTAGGAGACACTCAGCTTCATCATGTTGAATGAACAGATATGCTCTGTTGTTCTCAAAAATTTTAGAAGCCCTGAAAACACAACCCTAGGGGGCTACGGGTCTATTTCAACAGTTAAGTAGCTGCCCGATATCTGGGTTCAATTCTATCAACACATGAGCAAACACACAAACAACACATACACATGGAGTAGGAGGACTCAACTATTTCTTCAATATCAATTCTGAGAAACTCATGTGAAACCATGCCTCTCTTAAGAAACCCTACCCATCCTAATCCTTGCATCCCTATCACATGACATCACACTTGGTTAAAAGCTCCAACTTCTTTCCACAGCCATGGGAAGTACACAGAAGCTACAAATGCTCTGTGATTAACAGTGGGGCCTCTAAGAGGCTGGAGCATGCTGGGCATACCAAGAAATGGATCAGAACCACAAGGGAAGCTTCCAGAACTAAGTCAGCTACCGGAAAATTAATAATCCATAAGAATAGATTTGGTTAAGACAAGTTCAAGAACCTTGTTCCACTGTCCTGAAATCTGAAAACACAGAATGGCCTGGGAACACAAGCTAAGCCCTCCAGTACCCAGCACAATACCCAGAACATAAGAAGGAATCAATACAAGTACACACAATCAAATGAATGGTTACATACAGAAGAGACTCTCCGTTCCTTGCAGTGGTAAGCTTTGCCTTTTAACTGAGCAAGAAGCATTGGAAAATGTGACCTTCACATACATTTCCAGCTGCTCTTGTAGTATGGTAACCCACTGCTCCTAAGTTCTGTCCAACGGGAAATAACCTGAACTCCATACAAACCTTCTGCCAGCATCCTTTAAGAAAGCAACCACCACCTCCTCTTCCTCCTCTTTCTCCTTCATGCTACATGGAAGGAGCTCTCGCTCAACTATTCATGTTGCTGTTACAATAACAAGTGCTAATAAATACCCAAACTTAAAAGAGGAGAAAGTCAGGGGAGCCCAAGTTAGTGTGGACCTGCCACACTAACCCTGGAGTATCATTCAAATACTTAGAGGAAGATAACAAAACCTTACATACTTAACTTGAATTTCATTGTGTGAGGAAACTAATAAAATGCCAAATGATTGAATCACTGTAATAAAGCATGGGGACACTTTTGACAAATCACCCTGGCAGAACATTCCACAGAGAACATACATGTATCCATATCTCCAGTGTGGGTTGTCCCTGTTTAAATTTGTTCTTTCAGGTAGAAGTAACATCATGGATAGATCTGATTAACATGGCTTATGAAGCAAGTATTCATGCCCTTTCCAAGATGCCACAATTTCACACAAACAACAGAAAGTAACACTGACTGACTTTCTATTCAAAAGCTTCAGGAATCCCTATAAAATCCACTGCGATTAACCTCTAGTTACCTCCCACTAAATTTCCATAACAGTTTTCTAGATTCCATCCATCTACATTTTTTTTCTGAGTTGAATTACAAGAGTATCACAAATGATCTACTGTGGAATATTCTATTTTTAAAATTCAGCAGGCCACCACATACAATGAAAATAGTCATTGAAATGCTATGTAAGAGGCCCTGGGCTATCTAGATATGAATCACACGAGCTTTCTCCTTTTCATTCCTTCTGATATGATTTCATCAATAAATCCATGAGTGTATTGTTCTGGCAGATTGCATTGGAAAGTTCTGGAGAGATTCTCAAGAATCAGCATGCTGGTATTCTCATTTTTAGCTGTAGGTACATAGCCAACATGGCAGATGGGTAGATGTTGAAAGAAAATTTCATGTATTTTTCTAGGTAGTGAGCACATAAAGCATTGCTTCTGTTTGAATTATTTAGTAATAATTTGATAATCTAGTTTTATGGTCCACGTACTATCTATAATTGTATTATTAAAAACACCACACTAAGCAATCTATACCAGAATAACAACTGATGGAATGATTATATAGTTCTCCATAAATTCTAATGAAATGATGATGTCCATTAATAAGACCCAGGGCTCTCTTCGAGAAAGCAAATAATGAATGTGTGGTGTGATTTACACAAAGGCAGATGGAGCTTTATCTTATGCACAGTTCATGAATTTCTATGAAATGCCCTATTTAGCCTATATAGTATCCATCATTTTCTCTACATAAAAATAAATGGAATGAATGAGAATCAAAGAATTTTAAAGCTGGAATGAGTCTTCCAGTTTTTTCAAGTTCAAGGCTCCATTTTAAAGAGGAAGAATCAGAAGCCAGGGCCTGCTACCCTGAAAACATTGGCTAAGGCACAGTAAGCGCCACATCCAAAGCCATGCCCCAAGTTCTCAGGCCAATTATTTATAGACAGGACAATAAAGACAGTGCTTTCTTTTACTCTGTAGCTATGAGTATTTAAAATGTGCATAGTTTTTTTTTTATCAATTTAGAATATTTTATTGTGCATCACTGTAAAATGAGTTAATAATCCCTCACAGGTCAAGACTTGCTTACCAAAAAATGAAATTGTACATGTCACACAGAATGCCTGACTTGTGTGTTTCTGCTATATTGAGTGTTGTTATCAAATTGTACAGTGTATCCCTAAAGCTCTAAAATTCTTGACCAATAACACACTTTCCAATGCCAGAAACACAGAAACTGCCCGTGTGACTCTATGGGGGCAAAGTAATAGAAATGATATAATGTCAACTTAGAGTAACCAAATTCCATTTTCTAGCTGAACATGGAGTTTCTGGATTCAGAACAGGGTTTCTCCATCTTGACATTACTGGTACCAAAGGCCACTCATCTTTCTCTTTGGGATTGCCCTATGCATTGTGGATTGTTTTTAACAGCATTGTTGGTCTAAATTCTACATCACTCACATTCTAAGTCTCCAAACACTGCCAAATATCCATGGAAGGGGACTATTCTTCCTCACTGAGGACCACTGGTCTAAGTACACGAAGTAAGTTCAGGGAAACACAGAGCAACTCACCAATGGGGTCTGGGAAATGCTTATCAGACAAGAGGTTATATTCCTCTTCTGAGGTTAAAACCTTGCCTCCAGCTGGAAGAATTCGGCTTTTAGGAACAGCTCCTCTCTGATAGGCCTAAAAAAGAAAAGACATGAATGAATGATTTCCCCCAACACACATATTTGAAAAATGTCAGAAACATTTTTCAAAAGTAAAACAAGTCCAGGCACATATATCCTGTAATATATATCGCTATACTATGTTATTTATTTATAATTACTTTGGTTTGCATTCTTGCTGCTTACAAGGAGGTATTTTTTTTTTTACTTCTGTTTAATGGTCACACCCACAATGGTAAACCAGAGTCCCTAATCTCAAGGAGACTCTGGGAGGTGTGTTCTTAAATGGTAAAACAGAATATCAGTAACATCTATGTCTGTACCATGTTCTCCACTTCAGACATTGACGACTCTGACTCATTTTGATAACCACAAGGTTTGCAATCTCTCTCAATCTCTCTCTCTCTCACACACACACACACACACACACACACTGCACAAAATACTCTGCTGACTTGGGTCACATAAGACGCTGAGCAACACTGTATCTACACATAACTACAATGATGGTTACCATGGAGTTTCACCAAAAACACAAAGATGTTGCCATAATAAGTGTGCAGTCATTTGTCCTCAGATATGGCTGGAATTTTTACAGTGAAGTCATTGAGATGGGAGAGCAGTCTTATGACATCAGAAGACTTTCTGGCCTGCAGATAAGACATTCTGCTGCCTGAGAAACCCAAATGAGATCCAGTGCCCTGCTAAGTGCCTACTCTGACATACCCCAGGACAAACAGATGAAGTGAAATGTAAGTGTGTGCCTTAGATGGGCAGGATAGTTGTCAAGACAAATTACTGAAAGTAGTAACTTGGGGGCTAGTTGAGAATTGAAACCAAGAAACTGTGGGACCCAAAATCTAAAATGTGCTCTTGGGAATAACTAAAATAACATTGATCTGGGCAACAAACCCAAAATAACAATACACAGTCTCCATCTGTAAGATGGTGCCTAGAGAGCCCCAAACAAAACAAATACTATGTAACTTGTTTTGATACTTGGAAGATCCACTAATCAGCTACTTAAACACACTGGGGACCCAGAGCATAGCAGAAGAATCTATGTATAATTTTGAGATAGTGTGAAGCAATTGATTCAGACAGGACTCAACTGAGAATTTTGTCTGGGGTTATAATAAGCTTCTAAACACATTGTATCATTTGATCCTCAAGAGAGCACTACAAATTAGATATTATCTCCATTTTACAAGTAAGAAAACTAAAACTCACAGAGGTCTAATAATATGCAGTGACCCAGTGGTGACAGATTCCAGACTCAATCTTGTATTTATCAAGTCTCCAGCAAGAGTGATGAGAACTCTTTGATATTCCCGTGCCCACCACCAAATTGAACTCTCAATAAAATAACAAGACATTAATAATAGTCTAACTTTTCAAAATGATTTATACTTACTTTATGTGCATTGATGGTTTGCCTGCATGTATGTCTGTGTGCGGGTGTTGGATCCCTTGAAACTAGAGTTACAGACAGTTGTGAGCTGCCGTGTAGGTGTTGAGAATTGAACTAGGTCCTCTGTAAGAGCAACTGGTGCTCCTAACCACTGAGCCATCTCTCCAGCTAATGGCTAACTCTTACATGTGATTTTAAGAAATACTTCTATAACTTAACAAACAGGACCTTGTTATAATGTCCAACGATGGTGACAAACTACATGGACTCTTAATTTAAATACCCAGGTGGTTTTTTGAACTATTTAATCATTATCCAATATACTAATCTTAATTTTAAAACATAAACAAATTATTTGAAAATAATGATCAAAGAAAAGACAAATAAATTTTAAATTGAGGGAGAACATTCTCTAAATGTGGAAAAAAAGAAAGAAAATCACCAAAATTTAATTCACAGAAATTTCATTTACTGTTAAATGTGGGTGAAAAACTCAGTAAATCTGGACTGGGAAGATGGCTCAGTGGTTAAGAACACTGGCTGCTCTTCCAGAGAACCAGGGTTCCATTCCCAGTATGCACATGGCAGCTCACAACTGTCTATAACTCTAGTTTCAGAAGACCAGACACCCTCCCACAAACAAGCAAAATACCAGTTCACATAAAATGAAAATTATTTAAAAAAGAAAAACTCAATAAATCTAATAACATGCTCTCTCAATTAGTTGGTAGCAATTATATCAACAATTTCTCTGTTCTGGTCTAAACCATGGACTACCCATATGCTCGGTGTTTCAGTGTATTAGTGTATTTCTTTCTAAGGGTTATACTTGCCTTTCTCAGAAGAGAAAACTGAAGATAAAGGAAATACATAACTTAGTTAAAGGCATGTATCTGATAACTGTCAAAGGTGTAATTCAAAGCTCGTTATATTAACTACCCATTGAGATGCTGCACCTCTCCTCAGCCTTCTAAGAGTACATTGTAGGATGTGTATGAGAAGCCTATGATAATGTGTAGTGTGTTGACAGTTGGGGCTGTGGATTGAATGCAATCCTAATGTAGGTGAGCATTTCAAAGGGTACTTGAGACTGAGTCTGGGTAGGAAATGTGTATAATATGGGGTTTCAAAGGATCTGCTGTGATCATTGGAGCTCACTCCTCAGTTCAGCTGAGGGTCAGAGACAGGTAAGTCTCTTGTCCACATTTTACTTCTAGTATATGACACAACTTGACAAAAACTTTAGATTTCCAAATTCACTGCTTAGTGTCCTTTCTACTCTAGCTTCATATAGCCTCTATAGGAGGGAGGGAAGAAAGCAGGAACATTGAAATCCGAAGTCCTCCATGTATAGATGCTTTTCACACTTAATCTTATTTTCTCCCTTTGTACAGACAAGGCAAATGATGAGGAAAGGGTCTAACTGAAAAAATCTGTAACTCTAAGTGGGATGAAGTATTCAGAGTGCTCTATGTTTGCAGGAACCCTGCAAATGCAAGTGCTCTCTTATGGAATAACTAACTCCTCAGCCATGTATCATACATGAAGCTCGAAGTGGAATAATACAGAAACAGAGCAGAGGGAGCTGTGATAATCCAGGGGCTAAGAAGAACCTTGATGTAGAATGAATGAACACTGAAAAGCTCCCTACACCAAACACAGGTCACTTAGCACAACCTGTCCCCACACTCACTTTTCCCAAGCCTATCTTTTCCCTAGACGCCAAGCATGTGTCTGACCAACTGCTATTCATTCAGATCCAAATAAGACCTTTGGCATACAGAGGACACTCAACAAATATCCCTTAATTGAGATGAGTACCCAGCCCACCAATTGCCAAGGCCAGGCATGTCAATTAACACAGCCAAAGTTTTAAGAATATTGAAAGAACTGGCGGTGGTAACATGGGCGTATCTTACCTCTTTGTTCTCATAGCTTTCCACAGCAAAATCATTTTTAACCACGATGTATCTGTCCTTCCATTTCCTGATGTCTTCAGCATACTGTGAGAGCTCAGCTTCATACAAAACAGTTCCTGGTTCCAACGGGGGCTTTAAGAATATGAATATGATTAATGGTCACAAGAGATAATATACCGTGCTAACACTACATTATTCATGATCCTCAGGGAATGATTTAGAAAAGTATGGTGTGCAGCAATAGTGGGGAAGTTGTTTCTTTCTCTGAGATACCATAAACTCCCCTTCATACTCCTTCAAAGAAAATGCAGACACGTGTTACACAGCATTTTTCTAATTTTCATTTCCCCCTTATATGGATTAGGAATGAGAGCATGTGGTAGAAGAACTATCCCTTTGCATGCATGCAGCACTTAAATGTTTGATAAACTGTAGGCAAGAATAAGAGGCAGTGTAATGAGTTCACATATAGCTGCCTACTTTAACTTTCTGACATGCCTCAAGCTTAGTTCTAGAATCAGTCAGCTGTTTCCTATTGTTCTAGTTTCATTTCTGTTATGATAAAAAAAAATACCTTGATTTCTAAAGCAAATTGAAGAATAAAGATGTTTGGCTTACAATTCCAGGCTACAGTTCATCATTTTTTTTTGAGGGAATTCAAGGTGATAACTGAAGCAGCTAGTCACATCAAATTCAGTCAAGAGCAAAGAGAATAAGCAATGGATTCTTGCTTGCTTTCTTTTCTCTTGCATAGCTCAGTGGTGCTGCCCACAGTGGGAGGCTGAGTCTTCCCATGTCAATCAACAACTAAGACAAGTAATTTCCTAGAGGCATAACATGGAGGTTTGGATGATAATGACCCCCCCCCCATAGGCTCATATGTTTGAATACTTGGTCCCAGATCGGTGGAGCTGCTTGGGAAGGATTCAGAGGTGTGACCTTGATGGAGAAAGTTTGTGGCTTTGAAGTGTGTTGGAGGAGGACAAGCTTTCAAAAGGCTTTCACCATTCCAAGTTGCTTCTTTCTCTGCCTGTGGCTGTATCTCAAGATGTGAGCTCTCATCTCCTGCTCTAGTGCCATGCCTACCTGCCTGCTGCCATGCTGCCTGCCAGGATGGTCATTGACTCTGGCCCTCTAGAACTGTGAGCCCCAAACACACTCTTTCCTATAAGCTGCCTTGGTAATGGTGGATTACTGTAACAATAGGAAGGTACCTAAGACACATGTCCACAGGCCAACTTGATACAGATAATTCCTCATTAGTTGTCTCTTCTCAGGTGGTCCTGAGCTGTATCAAACTGACAGTTCTACCAGTTATAGTGGCCCATGCCTTTAATCCCAGCACTTGGAAGGCAGAGGCAGGTGGATCTCTGCGAGTTCCAGGCCAGCCAGGGCTACATAGAGAGACCCTGACCCAAACAAATAATAATTGACAGTTCAAAGCAGCCGTCTATACATCTAGGCTGTGAACACTTTACCCATCTCCTTGATTTTTAAGGAGTGTGTCTTTGCTTGAAGAACAAGGCAAGCCAGCAACAATCTGTTCTACCCCTCTCTCATCAGCCTTGACATATGCGCTATAGAGGTCTTTCTATTAGATTCCTCGTTAGGTCTTTACTGAGTTTTCTGTATAAACAGAACCCTCATCCTGCTTTGCTATACACTTCCCATATTATTGCAACACACAGGAGTATGTCTCTTGTCTTACATGTCACTGGTGTCACACTGATTTTTCCCTGTTAAACAAACATGCTACCTTCAAAACATATCACTTTAAAGTAAAAAAAAAAAAAAAAAAGAAAAGAAAAGAAAAGAAAAAGTATAGGATTCATATGGAAGAGACAGGCCTATTTCTTTTAAGATTCATCTAAGGGATAAAATAAATTTCATTCTGAATTCCAAGGCTTAAAGACTGTCCTGACAGATAATGAGGCAAACTCCTATCTTGCCTTATTAAAAGATAAAAAAGACCTCACTCACCTCTTTAAATGAGGCTGAAAGCAACTTTCTAGTCATTGCCTACAGCTTTCCTGAGACCTGGGCCACTCAACCAAAACTGTGGTCTCCTGCTGGACCTACCTTGACTGAGTCTCTGGGTTCAGAGGACAGGATTTGCATTGGTTTTGCTTAAGGCAGAAAGCAGTCTGTTGTCCAGGCTCGTCCCCAGTTCCTGGAATCAAGCCATCTTCCTTCCCTCCATTGTCCCCCCAGGGCTGAGCTATAGTCACACACCACCACACCTGTTTGGAACTTGTATTCTTTTCTTTTCTTTCTTTAAATTTATTTATAGAATTTATGTGTGCAAGTGTTTCCCCTGTGTATGTGCCTATGCACCACACATGTGCTTAGCACCCACAAAGGATAGAAGAGGGCATCAAACCCTTGAGAACTTGGGATCTGGAGCTCAGGATTTTGTGAGCCACCCTGTGGTTCTTGGAACCAAACCAAAGTCCTCTGAATGAGCAACAGGTACTCTTAATTGCTTAGCATCTCCCTAGCCCCATAACTTGCATCCTTAACATGCTCTCTAAATTCTGAGACGCTAGTAAACTCTCTGGCTAACTCGGCCTCTCAGCTGTCGCTGGACCACTCATCTCTCCTTCCTTTCTTTCTTGGCTCATTTCTCCTATTTCTCAGGGTGTTTCCTCTGGACTCTCTCTTCTTCAGAATTTGCAAATGTTGTTAATGCTGGTTTTTCTTCCTGCTGTCTCCATCCTTCCTCCATTATGCCTCAGGATGTTGCTTTTGGTTATAAACTAACATTCCCAGCCTCCAAGTCAAAACAACCAGTCTTCTGGCCAACATATCCACAGAAGCATGTAAAAGTCACCACCACCACCATCTCAGGGTTTAGAGAGCTGGCTCAGTGGTTAAGAGTGCTTGCTGCTCTTGCAGAGGATCCAAATTCAGTTCCCAGCACCCACACCAAGTGTAACTCCAACTCCCTAGGCACCTACTCTCTCTCTCTCTCCCTCTCTCTCTCTCTCTCTCTCTCTCTCTCTCTCTCTCTCTCTCTCTCAAACTTCTGTGTCACTCTATGTGGTAGTTTGAATAAAAATGACCTCCATAGGGAGTGCCACTATTAGGAGGTATATATAGCCTTGTTGGAGGAAGTGTGTTACACTCTTCCTGCTGCCTGCGGATCAAGATGTAAGAACTCTTCAGCTCCTTCTCCAGCAGCATGTCTACCTGCACGTAGCCATGCTTCCCACCATGATAATGAATTAACCTCAGAACTGTAAGTCAGCCCCAATTAAGTGTTCTACTTTATAAGAGTTGTTGTGGTCATGGTGTTTCTTCATAGCAATAGAAACCCTAAGACACTCTATATTTGGTACCCTGTCTTGGGACTTCCTATCACACTTAAAATCAAGCCCTTACAGTGAACCTGCAGACTCTAGTCCCTATCTGACTTCATGCAGTCACGGCCTACCACTCTCCCTCACTCACAGAGCTCCCAGCAGGCTGGTAGTCTCCGGACTGGAGGGTCTTTCCACTTCCTGCTCCATCTTCTTGGGATACTCGTTCCCCTGCTATTCGCCATCAGATGCCATGTCATCGCTACAGAGGACTTCCTTTCCAACCTACATCCCCCAAGAAGACTCTTGCTTCATTTTCTCTGTGATTTTTTTTCATTACCTCACCATCACCTGCTGCCAATTTTCCCATTGTTTATTGTCTGTCTCCTACATTTAAACATAAACTCCAGGAAGGTAGGGAGTTTGTTTTGAAACACACATACAAGATCAAAGACGATTCAGAGGAAATCATATTTGATCGTTGACCAAAACAAACCTAATTGCAATTTTTTTTCAGACTGACCTTCACAAAGTTAAATTTCGTGGTATCAAAGCATCAATGAGAAAAATGCATATAATGAGATTTGAACCCATCTAGCTTCTTTTCATATAGATCATACAATAAACAAGAAATCATACATACCCTCATATCAAGGCAGTATTTTTTTAGCATAAAATGATTTTAGTGTTGTTTGAAAAACTGTAACTCAAACAATTGAAATATTAGCATCTATACCCCTTTCTCCAGTGAGGGAAAGATGTAAATCAAATGTCCATGTATTACCTTCGTCTTCAGGAACTGCGACGTTAAATCTCTCTGTTGCTCCACCTCACTGCGTACATGATTACAGAAAGCCACAGAATACTGGCGGTTGTAGTAGGGACTGAAGTTTTTGATAGAAGCCTCAGTTTTTCCTAAAAAAAAAATACAAAAAATCATAATTTTGAAATGTAGCATGCTTCACAGAATAGACATCAAACTATTTTGAATACACCACCACCCCATCTCTCAAACACCACCACTGACCAGGTTTGTCACCAGCCTGTATTTCTAGGAATACTGGGAATGCTGCTACCTGCTGCATGTGCTTCCAACCCTCACTCACCTTCTAGCATCACTCTGAAGAGCTCAGAGTCTCCAGGGACCATTCAGTAGTAAGAGGGGTCTTGTTCAGGGTACATCTCACTCACTGCTATGGCCATAGGAATAGTCTATCTTGTCTCCTATCTACTCTAGCATGGTGTTTATTCTCCTACATGACAGAAATCCCAGAGCCCACCCTGTCAAACTCAGTCCACATCTCCCATTTTTGTTCAGCACCTGAAAGTTGAGCCTCTAGTCTTTTGCCTCCACAATCCTGGAGAAAAACACAATACTGAGGTGGGAAGATGGCTCAGCTGGTAAAGTGCTGGTTATACAAGCACAAAGACCTGTCTGCATACCAATATCCATGTAAAAAAAAAATCCTGGTGCTGGGGAGATGGAGACAGAGAGAGACAGCGACTTGCTGGCCAGAAGATGAGCTAAATTAGTAAGATTCAGGTTCAATAAGAAAGCCTGACTTAAAAAAAAAAGTGCTCCACACACATACTATATGTGCACACACACACACACACACACACACACACACACACACGCACGCACGCACGCACACACACACACACACAGGCACAAAGGGGGGGAGGAGGAAGAGAGAGGGAGGGAGGAAGGAGGAAGGGAGACTTGTGCTCCTATGCTCCTAATTTTGGAGATTGTTGTGATATAAACTGTCCTATGTTGGTCATGAGGTAGAGGGAGGAACTCACCTAAAGTCTAGACACCTGGACTGTGGACCCCATTCCAACTGAGATAGAAATCACCATCTAAGCTCAGGCAACTCCTTCAGCTCTCTAGACCTATTGTCCCTGATACTGAAGAGAGGTAGACTTGAGTCCACATTGTTCTTTGAGTTAGATGACACTGAAGCATAATCCTGAAGGTACAACTGCATCACCACAATGACATTTTGGTCTCTTGATATGTAGGTGAATTTTGCTGTCAATCATGTAGGACCTGGAATAGGAGAAAGAGTCGCCTTTCCATCCCTTGGTTAGCATGGGGAACAGGAGAAGGAAGAATGAAAGAGTGTTCTGAATCAGATTAGAAAGCCTCTTGGCATTTCAGATACTTGTTCCCAAGAATCAGTTTCAGCTTCATCATGCATTCCCACAAATAGTTACAACATGGGATAGGTAGGATAGGAGCTTGAGAGAAAATAAAGCAGAAATAACTTTGCAAAATATTTTAAAATGCTTCATGGGAGGCTTGGATTCACTCTTGTTTTTCAAATCTGATATTTTAGTTGACAGAGAAATATTAAAATATAACTTGCTGGTACACAGGGCGATTATGCATGTAAAATTTCAGAAATAAATGAAGAATCTGAGCCAGGTATATAGAGATGCTCAGTAAGAGAACCTTGAATCCCCAGACCTCCTGTTTATATGCCTATGAAATCACAGCTAAACACCCGTGTGTGCAAATACCCTCTACAGATAGACACACCCACTTTTGCTTGGACATTTTTCATTCTTACGTATGAGAAAAGGGAGCTCTTTTGTATTCCGTTAATAAAATGACATTTAGGCATTATATTTATGGGCTTTAGTAATTATTACTTGTAAGGTCCTTTTAGACCCACTAATAATAGATTCAGTGGAAATGCAAATAAAAGCCCCTGTAATTTCAATCTGGCATGCTTCTGCTTGCTCCCTGAGTTTATGGTATTACAATTAATCAGCATTTGCATAATGCTTTAATATACTCAGGCTTTATATGCATCTAATTGGTTATTATTTTATTAGTTTTATTACAATGCATAAGTAGCAATCCCATATCCTTGTCTATAATTTTCTTACATAGGAGTGGGACATCTTTGAGAATTTCCACAATGAGAGTGAGTCTCACGTTATAGAAACATGTAAGTGATGAGTAAAACTTGCCCTTTAATTCCAGGCAAGCAATGTTTGGTCTTTCTGAAGAGTACCATGCTAATTGTTGATGCTAATGCTTTCTCTCTTACATTCTCTTAATGACTGGTTCAAATGTAAGCAAAGCAGCTAATAGCATCACAAATACAAGAAGAAAAGAAACCAAAGCTGGTCTCCAAAGGCATCTAGACATGAGATTAATTTGTCTGGACCTACAAAGGAGCACCCAATCAATGTAAAGACTTTGATGATGGAAACAAAGTCTGGGGTTGGGACAAAATACCAGTGTGGTAGGGAGACGGGCTCTGCGGTTAGAGATGGTTCAAGTATTTCTGCTACTTGGTGGCTGTGTGATCTCATAGGAGTTACCTTTTCTTCCTTCTCATGTCAAAAATAGTGGTGGCTTCACAGAATAATTGTAACAATTACACAAAATAACTCAGTACCAGCTTCATGGTGTGGGTGCTGGGAACTGACCTCAGGCCCTCTGAAGGGCAGCACAGAGCTCTGAACTGCTGAGCCATCTCTCTAGTCCCTTGTCACTGTCTCGTGAATTCCCCACCTCAACCCCCATATCATCTATCAAGCTTTATTAACTCTCAATGTCATAACACTTTCTTAATTGGCTCTGCACAAGCATGGCAAGGTTAAATACTTAGCTCTCTGCTCTAAAACATGAACGGAAGTGTGCAGAGCAGCAGAGGTTCGGAATGCTGAGACCGGGACATAGATCCATGAAGATGGTGGAAACACTTCATTCATGAAGTAGCAGCGGATCCTAAGAAGCGCTAGGGTCAAAAATAATGCGGCAGAGACAATATGGCCTCTGGGACCTATTCAAGATAAAGCTACCACGCTAAACTGATGGTTTGCCCTGAAGACCAGTCTCCTGGCTTTGAGACTGTCAGGACATTCTTTTTAAGGCTGTAAAGTGGCCTCATTAGACAACAAAGGTCATAGACCTCTGGGTCCTGGCCTGCCAAGTTCTGGTGACAAGGAGCTGCCCCACTACATCACTTCCTGTGTGACAGCCCTCAATAGTTCCCCATTGCCTGTAACTTTTCCGCCTGCCACTGAAGGACTCCAACCGGCCTGTCTTCTATCGGACCACTTCCATTCAATCCAAACCTTGTCCAGTGCATCGTATCCATTCCTTTCCCATTCCTTCTCTCCATTAGAGTTCCATCATTCATTTTCACACTCTTTAAGCACAGAGGCCAATGCCGACCCCCAAAAGGATACTTTTCACACCTGGCCAGCTGGGAACAATCTCACCACCTTTAGCATTCTGGCACTTTTGCTACAACTGTGTAAATATGGCTTATCTCCCCTCCAAGGGTATACTGTATTTGTACACTCAACAAATATTGGTGAATGGATGAGAGAACAGCTGAGCAAATATTCAAGACTAAAGAAAGTCAGCATATAGAGTAGTAATGAATCCCATGCATGATATCACCCCAGGAAGTAAGGTTTGGGGCTTAACTACTTATTATTAAAGCTATACACCCAAGAAGCCCAATGCATATTTGTTTACAAAAGTCAGAATCTAACAGGTTAATTCCTTCCAAGCGTTTAGATAAGTTTTGCCTGTGAAAATATTTGAAAATATTAACAATCGCTTCTTGGACTGTTTGATTTGATCAGTCTAACACGATGGAAAACATGTATCAGTCTGGCTGAAATTTATATATAAAGCCTGAAGAACCTGAATTTGTGTGTTTTCTCATTTTAGAAGAGTCATTCTCAGTCCGTGGGTTACAAGCCCTTTACGGGTAAAATGATCCTGTCACAGGATTTGCCTAAGACCATCAGAAAACAGATATTTACATTGCAATTCATAACAGTAGCAAAATTACAGTTATGAAGTAGCAATGAAAATAGTTTTATGGTTGGGGATCACTACAACATCAGAAACTGTATTAAAGGATCACGGCAGTGGGAAGGTTGAGAATCACTGGTCTAGAAAGTTTTTTGAAAGATAGTGTCCACAGCCACAACAGTTCACTCAAACCCATTTACCAGTTGCTTGGTCTTGCTCTATCATGCTGCTTATGGCAAATTAGTCTTCATCCCCATTTTTCCAGCCGTTACTTCAGTAACTATAAATAACCTAAAATCTTCTCACAGGGGATGGGTCCTCTATTTCAATTCCTTTTAGAAAAACTAATTCATAGAAAAAGAAACAAGAAATTAAAATACTATTGTGTCAAAAAACACAAAACAATTCCAACACTAATTTTGTAGTATTCTTTCCTAATATTTTAAAATTATTTTACAGTTTTTAATCCAGTGTTATTTAGTTACCATTTGATCTATGGCTTTTCCTGTAACAAGAGAAAGAGATCATCATCTTAAAGATGCTAGTTTTCTATTATGAAAGATAAAAGTATAGATATAAAAAAATTAACATGTTGCTATTTCACTGGGAGTTGAGGTAAGCTGCATATGGGGAGTGGGTTTTTGGTACAGTTTCTTAAGACCTGGTAAGGCTGCAAGTAAAGGTTAATTTTGGTAAACAGGAAAAATGCCTCCAAAATTTCAATAATTTTAAGGTATGATATATGCCAACGTGTATTTCTCTTGGGTTTCTAAAATTGTAGAGATTTATAAGTCTTCATGAATTATAGCATCAGTTATGATCTTAGGTTGCTAAGCACCATAACTTTACACCTTAGGGTGGAAAATTGGAAATCCCAATTCACAATACAGAGGTGCAAAAATCTAATTACATACAATGATGCCCAAGGACTCTCTTTCTCCAAGTAAATGCCTTAGAGAATGAGGATAAATTGGATTCTCCATAATTGAAGTAAAGACAGGGAGGGAGGGAGGGAGAGGGAGGAGGGTGGAGAAGGAGAGAGTGGGGGGAGAGAATGAGAACACATTTATTACTGGTGCTGGGTGACAGGCTTTTAGCAGGCTCCACTAGGAAATGGCAGGAT